AGCAGGAAAAGGAGTTGTTGGTAAGGGAAATAGGCTGTTGGTGCGGGAGCTGAATCCTTTAGTGAGAAAGCATTGAATAGTTTCAGCAGGGCTTTTACCTGAAGTACATACACACACTTGATGATGTTCTGTCGTCTTTTCGCTCTGTCCCCATGCTGATCTGTGTGTCGTCTTTTCCTCTTCCTGGATGATTTAAATGAAATCTGATCATTTCTGTGGTGTCTGAATTGCTGAGGTATCACCTGGAGAATTGTGGCCTTAGGTCCATAATTTGCTCAGGCTTTTCTTGAACGGAGAAATGATGGGTTATCAGTGAGGCTTTGAAGTCTTAGGACGGGTTGCTTGTTTAGCGTATCTTTTCGTACTTCGCTAGTCAGCTAAATCAGGGTGAGTTTAGGGAGATTTGTTTTTTAACTACGTTTTTTGTCCTCCTCATGTTCCTCCAGTGTTTGTGATAATCGGGTAGCTCCTCCTGACCTCTCCCCACTTAACCAGGACCACCTAAGAGTGCACACTCACTGACTTCAAAATGGTGTGCGGCAGTGGCTACAGTCCTCTTGAACACCTTGAGATTTCACCCATTTAGCACAAAACTAAGTTACTAACCATACTCTGCCTCTACTAGAGCAAAACCGTCGAAGATTTTGCAAGCTCCAGGACTAAAACCACTTCCTGAATACCAAATGCCGCGACTGCCTTCCGCTCCTGTGCCCCAGAAGGAGCTCTCTGGTACCAGGGGATGTTGACTCTGAGTACAGGCGGGCAGCAGTGGTATTTTGGGGAGAGTGAGGTCCAGAGTTCCTTCCTCCAAGGTAGAGGCAGAGCTTGTTGGAGCTGAGAATGGCCACGCTGACTTGCTGAAGTTTGCTACAACTCTTCCTTCAAGAGGAAGAGGAGTGAACTGATAGGCAGCGGGGTGTCCCTGGACTCTGCCACTTGCAAATCCTGCTTCTGCCAGGCTCGTGGTCTGCGATGTCACTGTTATTTTAGAATTTATGTTGCGGGGTGGAGACCTGTGGTTTGGGACTCACTGCTCTATCGGCTGCAGCCCGACCTCCAGGAAGAGGCAATCGGCTGCAGTGTCGGCTGTGTGCCTTGAGGGAGTCGATGTGCATCATCTGCTGAGGCTCTTCCAACCTCCCTCAGCTGCGGCGTTGCAGGTCCTGGTTTGAAGAGTTTCTGATTTTAGGGTTTAGGAAGGGGAGGTTACTTTCTTTTCATCCTTGCAATAGAAGACACAGATTAGATGCAGAAATGTTATTCCCCTTGAAGAGTTCATACAGTCTATGCTCCTCCTGCAGTAGCAACAAATCTTTTTTACTGTATGACTTGATTATTTATGTTTGTAATACCCAAAGTGCACTGTAAACTTCAGAGCAATATTTGAAGAGAAAAGCTAGCTACCCAGAAGATGTTGCAGGCTAAAATTGGACGTGATGTAAATGAGGCTGACAGTAGCGGCAGAAGGAATAAGGTAGGGGGAGAAAAAAGTTAAGTTTGTGCTGTGTCTTTCTTCTGAGATGTGAACATCTTGAAATTTCTCCCAATCTCCACAGGATTTTTCCTGTGCCTCCTGCTTATGAGGGAGTTTTGTGAAGGGATTTAAGTGAAGGTAGGTGATAGCTTGACAAACGAGCCTTGCAAGCGCTCAGTTCCTGTGGTGTCTGCTGTGAAAGCAAGCACTTGTTTTGCTGTCCCTTTTTTTGGAGCTAACAGTAGAATGCTCCAGCTGCAATCCAGCTGCAGGCAGCATCTTTACTCAGATACAAACAGCTGGGGTCCTTGTGTGCTTCTAGTGTCAGATTGGTTTTGCGGTTTTCTGAAATTGGATTTCTGATTTTATTCTTTGTTTTTAAGTAAGGTAACCACTGGCTATATTTCAGCCTTTGCTCTGAAGCCTTGTTCTTACGTGGGTACGCTTTCAGGTACCAAATCCACTTCCTAGGTGTGCCTGGCTGTAGAACACTGTATTTGCTTCCCATTCATAGTTAGGATGTGTTCAGGACAAGTATGATAACCTTTCACTTGGCTTTTAAAACAAAGGAGTCAAATCCCACCCAAACTAAAAAACTGTTTTGAACTGGTTCGGTTTTTCTTTTCCTCTGTCAGACTGGAACCAAATCTGAGCTTTTCTTTTGAAGCCTTTGGAGCTCACACCCAAAGTGCTCCAAATGAGTAACTGGTTAAAAAATACCGTCCAGAAGGAGACACGTTTGCATCTGCCAGGCTCCACAAGACATCAGTGCAGCTTCACCTTCCCTCCCCAAGCGGTGCAGGCAAGGCAGGGCTGTTCTGCAGACTCGCGAGGGGGTGGAGGCTTTCCCCCATGTTTGAGGGTGAGCACTTGGTGGTAGGGGTCGAATCTCTGGCTCTCTTCCAAGCTAAACATGGGGCTGGCCATCAGTCGAAGGCCCAGGGTTACACTGGTATATAGACCTCAGTGTACAGATGTGCATATGTTTTTGTGCACATCTGGATACAGAGGTAGCGTGGATGTTGATCGTTGCCTTTGAGCACCTCCTTCTGCTCCTCTTCCACAGCACTGGCACTCCAGGTGCCAGCGCAGCGTCCCATCCTCTCCCTAGCTCTTTGGTCCTGCAGATAAGCCTGGAAGAATTAAGAGAAGCAGCAGCAGCACTGCGGTGCTGTACCGAGTTAGGAGAAGTAACCTCGTGGGACATCAAGACCATGGTAAAGGGAGGGCTAACGCGTCTCCCTGGCTGAAGTCCCAAGCCGCAGATGTGTCCCTGTTACAAGGTCCCTTCTGATATGAACCGCCCTGGGATTATTGAGCTGTTACTGTCTTGAAGCAGAACAGCCTCAGTCACAGGGAAACCTGAACAAGAACTGAAGAACTACTGCTTCAGCTCGTTGCTTTAGACAGTCTAAGATTAGATTTTTTTTCCCCAGTAACAGCTTTATTTCAAAAAATGTCATATGGGCTTTACATCTACCCCTGAAAGTGCTGGTTCTCTGTTAGAGATCGGTACCAGTTAAATATCACTGATGTTATCTGGCAATTCCAGTGTCAGGTGGTTTGGGACAGAGAGCAAGAAGCAAGAATCTAGTTCTCGCTCTGTCAGGGGCTTCCTGGATATTTGTTATTATCGCGGTGCCTCAGCTCGTTTTACATCCAGATATTCCCCTCTGTACAAATCCCATCTGCAAGTGAAGTGTTAGCAGTGCTGTGCCTCCAGGGCTGGTTTCCAGAGTACCTATAAAACAGCTTTAAAATCTTGAGGTTGTTTTTTTTTTAAAAAAAAACAAGCCTTGGGCTATATTTTCATGTATTTCTTGATTCCTGAGCTTTTCTCATTGTTTTTTTTCTAGCTATTCTGTCTTCAAGTATATCTAGAAAGCTGTTGGTTTTATTTGGGAGGAGAAGAGAAGAAATTTTAGTATGAGCCTTGATTGCATCCTCACGGGCTTTAGGAAGAAAAACCAGACATAATAAGATTGATTAAAAACTTGAGCGTTGATGACGGAATAGATGCATTGCGTTTTAATACCAGGTAAACCATGCTGTTGCCAAAAGCAAAGATTCCAATATTAAATATTTAATTGTAAAACATATCACAAAAATATGACTTGAGTGATATCTTCTCAAGTATCTCTGGATTCCTGCTCTCACTTAAGAACAAGCTGGAGAACGCTGTCATATTTTATGCTAAGGATTGTCTTGTTTTAGCCCTAGAAATGTGGAAAACTGTTATTCAAAATATTTGCTCAGATATATTTTTCACTTCTTAAAAATGATTCCTTTAGTGGCCTTTGGGGGGGGGGAATCACAACTGTACTTAAAGGCAGATGTGGTCTGAAGGAAGGCTTCAAATGGCCTGCTGAGGTTCCTTGTGGTGTTAAAAACTTCTCATTCATTTTGTTCTTTATTATTTGTGAAAAGCAGCAAGGGGAAGGGTTGACCAGCTATAAAGACTGAGCCTTTTCAGGGAGTTTTATCAGTAACAAAAATAAACTCTGCAGGCTGAATGACACCTTCCTGGGTGTCTTACCTTCGCTTGAGCTGTACAAGTACAATAAAGGACAGAATATTTCCCCACAGTCACATCTGAGTTCAGGGTTCAGTTATTGGTGTGTCCAGTAGCGAATCTAGCTGTGCTGCGTCCTGCACGAGTCCTACTAGTCAATATTTTTGTCTTTAAAATAAAAAGACTTTTCTGCACCCTACAAAAATAATTCTGTAGCAGAAGTAGCTGGTGCTGTTTCAGGAAAGTACTCTGTTCTAGGGTTTTGCTAAGCAGAGTACATTTCCACATCGACAGGCTTGTGGCTTTCCTTCCTCTCCCTCGCCAGAAATGGAGGCCGCACCTGGGAGCGGTGAGGTCAAGTCTGAATGGGTTTCTTCAAAGCTTTTTTGATTTATCTGTGGGATAAGGAAAGAGGGATTGGGTGTTGGTGTTATTACTTAGAGACTTCTGACTTCCAATACACTATTTAGGAAAAAAGGTATTTTTTTCCTCTTCCTAGTCTAGCTCTTGATACTTTAATCTTTGGGAATTCCTAAGGGCAAGAAATAAAACTATTGTAGATGCTTTTATAAGGAAGAATAAATCTTTGAAAGAATTGTTCTATATTCTTTCATGGGAAAGGGTTTGGCTTTCAGTTGTCATATGTGCTAATTAACCTTAGGAAAAACTGGTAGCTGCAAAAAAGTAGCCACCTAAAATATTTTGTAACTTACACTGATGTGAGAGCTCTTTCCCAGTTGTCCGTGACTTTTAAATGCTTCTGGCTGTTTCTTTTGTCCCTCGTAAAGCAGCTACTCCATGTGCACGCACAGTGACATTTACCGTGCGCCTAACAATTCATACCTGCAGAGCCGAAGGATAATCAGGCTTTTCCCTGTGCGAGTGTAGGGGAAGTAGATCAGGTTTTACATCTTACTTTAAAATGGTTTCATTCCTGCCAGAGAAGGGAGATGAGCTCTTCTGACAGGTAGTTAATAAATCCAACTTGTGAGCTTCAGGAGCAGGAAATAACACGAGTGAAGTTGAGAATTGCTTCTAATGGCAGCTAAAATTTCAGCTCAAGTTACTCAACTGTTTGAAGTAATGATGACTTAAAATACACAGGGCTCAAGCTCATGTGTCCAACTGTGGCTAAAAGGAATATGTCATCAAAAAATAATGTAGTTCAGAGGAATATTAACCTCTCTGAAAAGCTGAGCCATTGTATTTGAGATTCATTATTGATGAAGGAACAGATTATGAGGAAAATCTGAATATAGAAGAGTGACAGGTCTTTTGGTTTCGTTCTGGAGGATGATCTGTCTGAATCTTCATTTCTTGCTCGTGTCTTTATATTCTCCCCTTGTACCCGAATTGTTAAGGGTGCCTTGAAATTTTCCTTCTCTCATCAACCCCCAAAGGGTCTGTTTGTAATGGCTTGGCTGAAAAGCGTGAATACCTTCAGAGGCAAGAATTAAGTCATAACTGACACTTTCTGCGGGTGGCAGCGGGAACAGCAAACACAGAATCAAAATTAGGATAAAACTGATGTAAAAAGTCACTTCACCAAATATCTTCAGTACCCGTGACAAGATGTGTAAGCTTAAATCTGCAAGGGTAATGGGTATGTTGGTGCTGAGGTGACTTTTGGTGCAATACAGCTGTCTAGTAGGCCCCAGATTCCCTCCGTCTCTGGTCAGGTTTTGCCAAACAGGTAGGTGTTTTCTGGGTTGCCTCCTATTCTTTGTGCTCACGACAGGAACAAGCGTATTAAAATGAAAGGCTAACCCGTGCCAAATTCTCTTAATTCCATTTGGTTTCTGTTGCAGTGGAAGATCGATGACAAGCCGGTGAAAATTGACAAATGGGACGGTTCAGCTGTGAAAAATTCTTTGGACGATTCTGCCAAAAAGGTACTTTCTGCAACTGCTGATTTCTCCCTTTTGGGAAACACTCTGTTTTTTTAGGTTTCTACATTTATTTTAAAAACTATGTAAACTTTTTTAGTTTGACTGTGAAGTACCCATAGCCATGCTGGTTCTGTAGCATCTCTTGCGATTCGCATGGCTAAAGCAGTGTTTGGGCTCAGAGTATTAGCAATTATTACGATGTCTGATGCAGACATTAATTCTGTATAAAGTTTCTGCTCAGTTTACGCATATAATTGAGGTGGTTTTATCTAAATCCTTTCCAGAAGCAGTTTGTAAAAAGTATGAAAAGCACAAAATAAACTTGGCTGCATGTTTCTCCCGCAGGTTCTCCTGGAGAAGTACAAGTACGTCGAAAATTTCCGTTTGATCGACGGCCGCCTCATCATCTGCACAATCTCTTGTCTTTTCGCGATTGTAGCTTTGATTTGGGATTACCTGCACCCCTTTCCTGAATCCAAACCTGTTCTTGCCTTTTGTGTTATATCATATCCTTTACAGATGTTGTCTTATTTATACCAAAAGGGTTTTATTTTCCCCATGAAGCACAAGAAAACCCTTCTCTGTATTCCCATTTTCAGGCCTGTGGGAATTTTACTTCCCGTTGTGTGGAGATCAGCTGATAATCAAATAGTTTTCATGTGATGGCAAAATTCCTGCCTGTCTGGCTGTAACACACCTAAATTTGGGTGATCTGGGGGTCCAGCCTTCCCCTGCAGCGGCGTGGAAGCCTGGACAGCAATTCAGCTCATGTCAGAGGAGTCAGCAGCTGCCTGGGCAGCTGATCTGCTCTCCAGGCTCCTGACTGCAGCGAGGTGATTTCCCAGATCTCAGACACCAACTGCGCAGAGACTCCTCCACTCCTCCGCTTAGGTGTGTTAATCTCAAACTGAAGATCTGGCCTTGAAAGTTTCGGGGGGTTGTTTTGTGCTTTGGTAAGGTTTTTTTTAAATTCTACCTATAGGCTGGTTACAGAGACATCTGCTCTTTCCTAATATGACAGATCAGGTACCGAGAGTGGAGAGTAAACCAGAGGTAATTCTTGCCAGCACCTCCGCCAAAGAGGAGCAGACGCTGCCTTTAGGAGGGCAGCGCTACAAACCAGGGTTTAAATGTTTAGATGTCAACTCTGTTTAGAAGTGATCTGTAAAATTTCCAGTATTACAGCACAGCTGGGTTTTTTTTTTCTGTTTGGGCTCAGAGGGTCAGCATGGCATTGATTTCCCTGCAGCTCCTGTAGCAAGATAGACGCCTGCAGAAGTTTTACAACCTAAATGTACGTGACGGATGCGTGGTGCTTTCCAAGAGCTGCCGACAGGCCCGCTTTCAAGGGCGGTTTTGATGGTAGCAGCAAGGCAGCATGAACTGGTAGCCCAGAAGCTTATTGCCAGCCTGGGAGTCACTGTACTGCTAAGGGCTGTGTAATCTTGGGCAAGTCATTTTGTTGTTCCAGGCTACAGTTCTTCTGGTTGGCTTTCAGCACGAACATTGAGATAATTCGTCTTGTAGCACTTAAAATTACTTAATTCCAAAAATGAGAAAGATTAATTGCTTGATCTGTGCTTAGGAGGAATGCACAGCGATTAATTCTGTGATTCTATGATTCTAATTCTGTGGCTCATTTGGTCTCACGTTTTCCCGCTGTCTCCCAACAGACGTTGCTCCAAAAATTTAGCAAAGTAATTGAAAACAGTATTTTATTGTTGTGATTTCCGCTTTACTTCATGGTTTCATGAACAAAGCATTTTATGTGGCTGGAGAAATCCCTTTCAGGAAAGCATGTTAGGGAGTTGTTGCTTTCCCCACACTTCCAGGCGTTGATTAATGCTCTTGTGCAACGGCAAAGATTTAAGAAACTGTCCCAATAATTATTTAATTTCACATGCTAACGAGGCATCAGCCAAGCATCCTGTTTGGAATGATAATGTCATGAGAGGTGGTTAAACAACGGTGTCTGAGGGGGTCCAAGCAATTTCTCTGCCTAATTTCTACTTCTAATTGCAACTTCTTAGTTTCCTTAACTTTTTTTGCACATATTTTGTGATGATGGGAATCCTGACTATCTATACCTCATACAAAGAAAAGAGTATTTTCCTCGTAGCTCACAGAAAAGACCCTGCGGGGATGGACCCCGACGACATTTGGCAGCTCTCCTCCAGTCTCAAACGGTATCGTTTGCTCCGGGCTTAGTGAGCGGCAGCGCGGCGGTGCGGTACCGTCATGGCTTCGGTTTGCCTGTGCTGCCTGCGCCTGTAGCCTGTACCAGCGGGGCAGAAAAGCTACATTTTGGGTAACTCATAAAGAAAATGGGGGAAAATATTGGTGTCTCTGCAATATTGGTGGCTCTGCACCGGGGACGTGAGCTTTCCACAAAGGATCGGTTACTGTGCCGTGATCTTTGCGGCTTCCCAGGCAACTTGTGATTAATATTCACTGCAGAATATTATTACTCAGAAGTAACAGCAATCTGTGACAGGCTCACTGGTCTCGTGTGCACCATTTCGATCTGTATCTCCATAGGATCACCCTAAATATTTTCCTTTATTTTTATACCTACAAATCTGTTTCGCTCTGTCAAAATTGACATCCCAATCTAGAAATGGGAACGGTGCCAAGCAGTTATCTGCCGCAAAGGTTCATGTTTCGCTTCTCTTTAAATGGGGGGGAATTAATTGCAGAGAGTATGAAAATCTTTAATTGTGTTATAATTAATGCTGCATGTTGCAGCTGTTAGTGTCCGTGTGGAGACCCCTGCTCCTGGGGGCTTTCCCCTTAACAAAGACGAGGATTTCTTGTCAGCTTTTCGTTGGCGTCTCAGCTGAGACAGACTTAAATCCTGCTCTGAAATCTCTCTGTCCTTCCTGCAGGTTTGATGACAAGTACACCCTGAAGCTGACTTTCATCAGCGGGAAAACCAAACAGCAGAGGGAAGCCGAGTTCACTAAATCCATTGCGAAATTCTTCGATAACAACGGGACGTTAGTCATGGAGGCCTACGAGCCGGAGGTGTCCAAGCTGCACGATAGTCTGGCCTTGGAGAGGAAAATAAAATGATTTCTGACACCACCTGCCTCCTGGGAACGTGCTAAATTAACGCCAATAAAGTAAAATAGTAAAGAAAGTGAATAATTGCCTCTGTTTTTGTCCTGAAATTCTATTCCATTTTGGATAAGTGGGATTTTTAATCTTGGATCCAAGGTTTTTTTAAAGCTACAGTAAGCCTTGCTCTCTGTGCCTGCCTTTCTGGTTCTGCCACCTCTGGGGCGGACCTTGGAGGAGGATTTGCCCGTGGGGACCCTCAGGAGGGGAGAGTTGTCACCAGCGCTGCCCCGGCTTCCTCCAGTTTTACCTGGCAGTGCTTTATTAAACGGCTCCGTGCCGTGTGGTGTCTGAGGGGGCTGGGGAGGTTTTACCTTTCGCATTTCACCACTGCCACCTTTCCCTTTTGTGTTAGGAATTCAGGACAAAATCCTTCTGTAAAACAACTGTCTGCTCGTCAAGTTTTCTTTATTTTTGTATTTATCTAATTGGGGATTGTTTTATATAAAAGCCTTTTATGTGTTGTGGGGAGGGAGAAGACAAATAATTCTGTGTGTTCGGCCACGAAGCTTATCTCCAAGGTGAAAAAAAAGGAAAGCGAAGGGCTTTTCCGAGCTGTGACTGTGCCTGTTCGTCCGGCTGTTTCCTACTGCCACCCCTTGTCCCGTGCGTCCCTTCTGTAAAATGGCGTT